ACTCACATTTATAAGAGAAAAGGTGGGCATAGCATCCGTCTGAGTTGCTGTTCTATCGCTGTGAAGGGAGACCATGACCAAGGCATCATATAAAAGGAAGCATTTCATTGGGGGCTTGCCTATAGTTTCAGAGGCTCAGTCCATTGTCATCATGGTGAAAGGCAGGCAGGCACAGTGTTAGAGGAGTATGTGAGAGCTCACAGTTGATCAGTAAATCACAGAGAGAGAGAAAGACAGAGAGAGAGAGACAGACAGAGAGACAGACAGAGAGACAGAGAGAGGCCAGGCCAGGTTGGGCTTTTTACCAATATCACCACAGTAACACACCTTCCCCAACAAGGCCACACATACTCTAACAAGACCACACCTCCTCCTTCCCAAACAGTTCCAATAACTGAGGACCAAGCATGCAAACATACGAGCCTGTGAGGGGCATCCACATTCAAACCACCATAGCATCTGGACCCACCCCCGCCCCCAGTATTTGGGAAATGGAGACTTGGGGATTTCGCGTGCCCACTTGGCCAGCTACTGCAGCTAAAATGGTGAGCTTCAGATTTAGGGAGAAATCCTACTCAAAAGATAAGTGGAGATGATAGAAGACATCCGTCATCAACCTCTGGCCTCCAAACCAGCTAACACCAGTGAGTGCCCACATAACACACACACACACACACAGAGAGAGAGAGAGAGAGAGAGAGAGAGAGAGAGAGAGAGAGAGAAAGAGAGAAAGAGAGAAAGGGAGAGTTCCAAAAAGCTATTTTCAGCAAAGGAGATTTAAGTAAAATTATTATTTTTGCATAAAATATTGACACTTTCTTAAGATCAGAAAAGGTGTAAACTGAAACTTTGAAGACTTGGAACCTTTGTTTCCAGCAGGTGTCAGGGAGTCTGGCTCATCCAGCAGGCCACACAGCACATACCCTATCTGGATCCCTCTCTGAACAGGAGCTGCCCTGGGTCTCCCAGCTCTGGGCGGGGACAGTGTGATGGTTAATTTTAATGTTCAATTCAATACAACCTAGAATCACCACCTAACAGAATTTCAGTGAAAGACTGGCTAGACCAAGTTGACTTGTGGCCAACTGTCTTGATCTCCTTTGGGAAGTCCCAGCCTTAGGTGAGTGGCGCCATTCCCTGGGTTGTGGCCCTGGATTGCAGAGTAGAGAAAGCAAGCTGAATATCACAAATGCATGCTCTACTCCTGCTGGCAGATATCATACGACCAGTAGCTTCAAGCTCTTGCTACCTTCACTTCCCATAAAAAATGGCCTGTAACTTGAAATCTCCCTTAAGTTGCCTTATCCAGGTATTTTATGAAAGTAACAGAAAACAAAATCAGGTCAAACAGTGACTGTATCCCCAGTACAATCCATTTTCTCTACAGATACACATTTCCCTGTGGCATATTTTCTTCTTGCCTAAAAATACCCTTTCACTTTCCTGATAGAATAAACCTATTGGTAACAAATTCTCCTTGACCTTGTTTTCATGGGTGATAGCCTTTTCTCACCTTTGTTGATGAAAAGAGCTGTAAGTTGTAACGTCATCCCAAGATGTTTTGTCTTCTAATGGTTTAAATAAAATATGTGACTCTAATGCCCACCAGTCTGCCCACCTGTACAGAACAATTAACTTGTTATTATTCCTATCCTTGCTCCTCTGTGGATAATGTGTATCTCTGCCTCTCAGTGTCTTTTAAATGTTTCTCCTCATCAATGTCTTTCAGCAGTTTGATTTTAGTAGTTATGATATTAGCATCTTTGAATATTTTACTTCTGGAGTCTTTTGAGTTTTTTAGATCTGCAAGTTTACAATTTGGGTTTTTCCCCCCCCAGGATTATCTTTTCATTTATTACTAATTTTTTTTGTTGTTAAATTATCTTATGTGTATGAGCATTCTGCCTGCATTTATGTCTGTATACCACTTCTGTGTCTGATGCCCACAGAAGCCAAAAGAAGATGTTGAATTCCATGGAATTACAGTTTTAGCCAGTTGTGAGATACCATGCGGGTGCTGGGAATCAAACTCGGGTCCTCTTGAAGGGCATCCAATACTCTTAACCACTAACCCATCTCTACAGCCTGATACTAGCTTTTGCTGCACTCTTTGCTTCTTTTTGCACTAGTACCCTCTACTTCTGGGAATTCAATCATATTAAATATTCTGCTTGATTTTATCTGACAGAATCTATAGTCACTTATCTTCCTCGTTGTTTCATTTTAGCTGTTTCAATTGCTGTGTCATCTCTCTCACTAGAATTTCTTCAGCATCAAATCTGATGATAGTCAAGCTTTGTACATTATCTCTTCAGATGGAAGTCACCTTTCCTCTCACACTGATCTTTTTCATCTGTTCCTGTTATTCTCAGACCTTTCATGAATACATGGAGCACATCTGTAAAGCTGTTTTAACTTCCTTGTTTGATAGTGGCAGCATTTCTCACCTTATTCTGTTTCTATTTATTGGTTTTTTTCATCCTATTTCTGGTGTTCATTTTCTTGTCTCTTTGCATGCATAATTTTAGACCATATATGAACCATCTTGATTTTTAATCTTGTCAGATACAGAATTTGATTGTATACTTTTGTAATAGGATGTTTTTCTAGAAGGAAACTACAAGACCTGGATTCAGTCTTCAACTTTTAAAGGCTCTGTTAGAGTACCAATTAGGAATAATTTAGACTCAGCCAACACGGTAGTCTTCTAACTCCCTGGTTTTTTAAGCTCCTGTGTATTGTTTGTGTATTACGAGGTCCTTTCAGTGTAGCTGTTGGAAACACAAAATACTATCATCCAGTTCTGTGTTTGCTTCTCCCAACATTCATGGATCTATTGCGTTTGCACTGGTTAATTTTCATCATCAACTCAACTGTATTAGGCATGTCCCTGAGAACAATTCCAGAGTCCTGTGACAAGAATAAGAAAGCATTACTGAGGAAGGCCCATATTCGATGAAGGCAGTGTCATCTTGGGGGCTGAGTTCCAGATGTGAACAAGCTCCAGCCATGTCCCTGGCTATCGACTGTATTCATTTAAACTATGAGCCAAAATAATCCCTCCCTTGCTTGTGTTGTTTCTTCTCTTCTGTTGGTCACTGGGTGGGGAAAGTAACTCATGAAGTCCTTCTTCACTTCTATGTCAGCCCGAGTCATGTCTGTCAGTCTTTTGCAGATCTGTTGGGCCACAGATTCTGATGAACCTTGCTTCTTCAAATTCTGATTTTTATCTCAATAAGCTCTCAGGATCTATTCTATCACTTGGAAGCCATACTGTATTTTTTTTTTAATCAGTTACTTGGTGTTAAATTGGTACAGTCCCAGGCATTTACCTTGGTACTCTTCCTTCACTCAGAAACACTAGTGCCTTATTGTTCATTACTCAGTGTCAGAATTACATGCCCACTTTCTCTTCCTTCTAGTAATGTGATATGTGAAAATAATAGGGTTCTTGGCACTTCCTTGTGCTTACATGAATGGTACGCCTTTGGTATGAAAGATAAGACTCTAGTAAATGACTCTTACATCACTAGCATTCATCAAAATGAAGCCAATCTTTCAAGCTGGCAGTTTGTGTGTAATCTTTACCTGTGTAGATGCTGTGTAATCTTTACCGGTGAGAGGAATACCTAAGTTAGAGCTGTGTACTGACATATTCTTTCATTAAAAGATGGGATTTTTCCTTTACCTTTATCTGCATGCCCAAGTCTAGGGTAGTTACTGCACTGAGTGTCCATTTGGCTTTCGCAGTTTTGTTTTGTGTATGTTATTTTATGTGTTGAGTACTTGAATGGCATGCATGTATACAGTATGTGGGCAGGGCCTCTGGAGGCCAGAAGAGGGAGTTGGATCCCCTGGAACTGGAGTTACAGGCAGCTGTGAACTTTCCTGTGGGTGTTGAGGACCAAATACAGGTCCTTTGCAAGAGTAGCATCAGCTTTACCTGCTGGGTCATCTCTCCAGCTCCAACTTAATGTTTGACTCAAGAATGACACCATTTAAGCTTTTACTGCCTTAAGAGTTTGTTTTTACCAGGGACCAACTGAGTATATACGTGAGGATGTGTGAGATGATATGTGGAGATGAAAGAGACTGGATCTTGAAGGTGACAAATTCCAAACAGTAACTTTCTCTATTTCTTATTTTCTTTGGGTTGTCCAAGTGGAAACCTCTGAAAACGAATAACCATGTCACTTATTCACTTCATTCTTTAACAGGTATTCTTGCTGAAATAGAGTTTTTTTTTCTTGCTTGCTTGCTTCTTATCCTTTACATACTTTTAATTCTTTCCTTCAACTTTCCTATCCCTTCTTCTAAAAATGATGTGTGCAGCCCTCCAAACTTCTTAAGGGCTCTGCATTACAATCACTTTTCATGTCTCCATATTTCCTTTCAGTGCTCCTTATACTACTTACAAGCCTTTCACTAGCTTTCTTAGATTGTCCTATAATGTACTCCTTCAATTCGCTCATATACCATTAAGTGGGCTATATAAAATTATATATTTGGCATATATAAACATATTTACAGTGAGTGTATGAACAAGAGAATAAAGAAGCCAAGTTTTCCCCTAATCACTTCGTTTTGTCTTTTTATCCCTGCAGTCCCGGCTAGGAACTGTCTAGTAGCTTCACAGGGTGGACCAAAGAGTTTTACTCTGTTCTGGTCCTACCCTGTAAACACCCATGTAGACTTGGTGACATCACTTCCTCTCCCTTCTGGCCCAGCATCTATACCTCTCCCATGGTGATCACAGCACTACTGTCTTAGGATAATTCTGACAGTTCGGGGAGAAAATGAACAAAGTGCTCAAAATAAAGTGCCTGAGACTTCTAAAAGTAGCAGCCATTGTTATTAGCAGGAGCTACTTTCTTTTCAAATCACATTCATTGACTTTTCCCCTTGCAATTCAGTCGCTTCCCAAGCCTCCCCTAAACTTACAGACTATTCACGAAAAAACTTGAAAGAACTTGAAAATTATACTTTTTATTATAGTCACATAAAACGAAGTCAGTTACATCAGATTGTTCAAATATGTTGGTGAATTAAAGCCTCCAATGCTTACAAATTTTATACATATAAATACATACATATGTAAAAGATATATATTTTCTTCTAAAATAAAGTGCCCAAATCTTACTATATGGGGCAGGAAATGGAGAAAAGGGCCATCAACTCTTGGCAGTTACATAACCCTTTCACCAGCCAAGCATCCACGCCGTACACACTCACTCAGGTATGATGCATTTTAATCATCCATTCTTTCTCCGCATTCCCCCAAGTGAATTACTCTTACCCAAAGGTTGAAAGGTTAAGAAGACATGTGGCCAACTTACTGAATCAGAGGCTGGCTCTTCCTGACTGCGTGAGGTTCAGTCTTGGTTTCCAGCGAGGAATAAGTAAGCGTCATAATTTTCTCACTTAGAGGGTTACCTTTGTGCTACAGTGCTAATAGAGTAATATACAAACCAGGCGTCTCTAATTATAATTCCTCTACTAACATGCAGTGGATTCAAGCTTTGGTACAAAGATCTTGGTGTTTTTGTTGGTGTAGTTGTTGATCACCCAAGGTTGGAGGGGCAAAGCTACAGCACGGTTTGAATAGTGGGTCTTGGGTGGTTTGTTGTTGTTGTTATTTAGGAATGATAATAGAATCGGGGTGTACAGACTGCTATAGATCATTGAGCAAACCAACTTGAATTGAAATGGACAATTATACCACAAAACAAAATTCCATGATGACATTTCAACCTAAAAAGGAAATAAAGAAAAACTGCATAATTTAAGTACAATAACAATAAAAAGAAAAAAAAAAACCCTCACTTCAAATGGGAACTAGAGTTATGTTCCCCATTCCAATAGCCCAGCTACCCTTCTCCAGTTCTCACCAGCCATCACAAAACCTTATGGTGATCTTTGTATTCCTCCTCAAGAAACCGGATCTTAAAATCCCTTTGGAAAGACGAGCTTAGCAAGGGAGAGATGCCTAAAATTAGCTTCCACGAACCCAGCCACTTCAGCGTCTTTGGTGGTTACATCTTCAAACTACATTAGCACGGATCCTACGCAAGCAGGAAAGGGAGAGAGCGCCATAGCATGGGACCCAGAAGACTTCCCAGCATATGGCTGACGGGGAACCACGAGAAACCCTGACAAAGTCAGAATAAGGAGGAGGATATTTCGCTCGTGTTTGGAAGGGCAAAATAAGAGCCAGGAGGGACTTCCCACTTTTCGGCCCACCTTGGCAGGGCCTCTAACTGCTGATTTTGGTGAGCATCTTGTTGATCGCCTGCTTGACGTGAGTGGTGGAGCTGCGCCGCCTTGTCTTTCCTTGCACCATCCTCCTGCGGCGCACCTCTCGGCAGAGCTCATGGAATACCTCCGTGATGTTCCCTTCTCCCGTGCAGGCGGAACATTCGTAAAAGGCACAGGCCAATTCTGTAGCCAGCTTCTCCCCTTCCTCTGTGCTCACTTGCCTGGAGTGGTCCAGGTCGGCTTTGTTTCCGACCAAGATGAGAGTTACATTTTTGGGCTTTTTGATTTCATCTAAGACGTTCTTCAGCGGCAGCACTTCTTCAAAGCTTCCTCTGTCCGTGATATCGTAGACCAGCACGAAGCCTTCCCCCCAGCGCATGTGCCCTTCCCTCTGGATGGTGTCTTCCTGTAGGCAAAGCAAAGACTTAGGATCAGGAGACCAGGGCCAAAATGCGCACACTGCTGTTGCCTGGTAAACCCTTAGTTACCCGCCTTGTATCTGATTGTTATTAGATGTCTTGGCTGTTTTCCTGGACCAGCTTAGTTTCTTAATCAGTTTGGAAGGTAAGTACAGCTCACCCCCATTTGTCTTCCCGTTCTTCCTGTTCAGGTTATAGACGACTGAAAAAACAGTGACAACCTGTATAACCTCTACTGTTCAAGCTGGAGGCCTGGGGCTCCCCCAACCCCATCCCCAGTGACCTAATTTATGTTAGTCTCCTGCCGTGACTGTGAGAGGGGTGGGACTCCTTTGTGAGAAGGAAACTTGGGCAGCTTGAAGGGGATGCTGGTCGAGTCTGGAGGGTCATGCGCCTGTGGTCCTGGTACTTGGCAGGCAGAAGTGAGAGGAGGCCACGTGCAAGGCCAGTCTGGGCTACACAGTGAGGCGCCGAGGCACTGTGTGAGAGAAAAGAAACAAAGGGAGAGGGAGGTGGAGGAGGAGAAGAAAAGGAGGAAGAAGAGAAAAACGATGAGAGGGAGGAGTGGAAAAACCCACTGTTTTCATGGGTTCAATGGCCTTCCAGAGGCCACTGCCTGTCTCAATGTTCAGGACTCTGTAAAGGCCCCTGTGTAAGGAGGGGTTGATGAGAAAGAAATGGGAATACGTAATTTCAGGACCATTTTTCTTGGATTAAACGCTCTAGTTCAAGTCTTCTTGAAGGTCACAGGTCATTGTTATAGCACGATGGGAATGCCTGGCCACCTAACCTTTCATTCCTGTGGTCAGTTGTATCTTTGGGAACTAAGACTATCAACTCTTTTGTTAAGACCTAGTCTGACTAATGTCAAGGAAATTTGCAAGCAAGTATTGCAGGGAAGCACCTCCACATAGTATGACGTGAGTCACACAAACAAACCTGCAATGAGGTGGTCGTGGAGAATTCGAATATAGACTTAGGCTCTCTCAAAGACTCACCTTGCATGCTCGTCATTCTTTTCGATAGAGATGCTTATTTAAATTCACCTGAGCATTTCAAAAAACATGTTTGGTTATAAAACCCAGTGAATACATTGGTATCTCCTCCCTCCCAAATATAGAGGGAGAGTCTACCCCAGATGTTCTGGGACTATTGTAATATATTTCCAGTGCCTTCTTGAAGCACAGGGTTGTAGGGTTGTTTTACAAGGATCAAATTACATAAGCATTAATGTATAAAGTGGCCAGATAATGGAAGACATCCGCTTTTGGTCATGTAAAAGTCATGTATAGAAAAATGCCTTAGCTCTTTTTTTTTTTTTTTTTTTTTTTTACATTATACAAACTTTAATTATCTCTTTTTTATCTGATGTGGTAAACCCTACCCACCTGGCCAGCGGTGTCTAGGATCTCCATAGAAACAACTTCATCGTCGATGGTCGCCTGGTGTCGGTAGGTCGATTCTAAAAGAATGAGAAAATGAAGAAGGCACAAAGGCACATGTGAGGTTTAATTTGGTCCTTTAAGTGAGAAATTAAGCCCAGGAAGAGCAATCTGTAGCAATATGGTGGTGGTGGTGGGGTGATGGTGGGAGGAGCTGTCTAGGAAAGATAGGATGGAAGAACAGAGGGACAAAGGAACAGCATTGCATTCTACAGAGCTTTATAAGGGCCCAACCTCAAGCCTGCTGCCTCCTTGTGTTAGGCCCAGCAAGAGCCTAAATATAAAAAGGTATGAAGAGAACTCAGGAAACTAATCATCCATCGATGCAAAAACGCAAGAGGTTCCTCTTGACCATTGTGCAATGGGGTCACCCCTGCTGGTCAGCTAGGAGTGGCACCAGAAGACAAAGACCTTAGGTTTTTAAAAGACACAAGGCAGGAATCTCCTGGGGTTGCCTTTTTGGCGATTTAGGATTGTATGAGGTGTTTAACTTTTAAAATAATTGGTTAGTTCTGGTCACCCTTAGGTCCAGTCAGCCCTGTTGTAAATATCTGATTTTCAAGTCGGTTTGGAATTTCCTGCCATCCACAGTTAAAGATGGGAGAGTGATTAACTCATCCCATGTCTGTTCTGAGGAGTGGGGGTTACAGGCTTTGGATCAAAGGTCAGGAGAAGGATTGGGGCCATCTGGCCCAGTTTTCAAACAAAGCCCATCTCACCGGTGCCAGCCGGTGATTTTCTCTCCATTTAGTAGAGATCTCTGTTTGTTCTCTTCCTTATCTCTGCCCTCACAGATGGCTGATGTCAGGAACTTTTACATTCCTTGGCTCTCTGGAGAAGCACTAAGAGGCTTTAATTAACATGAGCCTAAAACTTGCAAATATAAGTTAAAAGGCAATTAAAAGAAACATAGGTTACAAAGTTAGTCTGATTCTTTCACTTGCTCCTCTATCCTTTCCCCAGGCTGAATCTTCTTCTCCTGTGAGGCCAGCCCCCTGTCACTCTTTTCCATTTAAATGTCTTCTCTACATTCCAAACCAAAAAAGGCATTTCCCAAACAAAATACATCCTGCCTTGATCGTTTTTTTTTCTTTTTTCCTTCTTTCTTCTTTTTTAAAACAGAGAAACTAACATATATTTTCTTCACTTCAATTCTGCGAAGATCCTTGACATTAGAGGGAGGTAGGAAGGTCTGGAAGGCTAGGACTAAGCTAGATTTCATGACAGGCAGACAGATAAGGATGGTGAACTTTCAAGATGGCTGCCTTCTTCCTCTCCAAGATGGCTAGCTCCTTCCTCACCCTCCTGACCTGAGACAAAAACCTAGCAACTTAAAACAAAGGCTTGTTTTCTCACCAGTATGGCACAGCCATTGGTTGATGGGCCTGACAAAGCAAGATTGACCAGGACATGTTTAGTTGTGGGACAGTCGGCCATCCAAACCTTGTTCAACCTAACCAACCCTAATTTTGGGGTGGAGGAAATTTTAGAGACTTAAAAAAGATGCTTATTCTCTATTTTTGCTGTATTGTGTATGTTTTCTTACCGCTAATAAAAGCCTTTACTCACTGGCTGATTTCCACACTGCTACCTGTCACACTCAAACGTTTCCTGCCTTTTATTTCCTTAACTTACAGATAAAACAACAACAACTGCAACAAAAATACCAAACCTGATCAAGAGCCCTAGACTGTAACAGGATGAACACATGAAGCAAAACTATTGGGGACCCTGAGACTGTAAGAGGCAGCTGAGCGTGTTTGGTGGTTGGTGAAGAATGGTAACCCAAAGCAGAAGAGTTTGAGCAGATGGAGCAGGGACAGGGTAATGCACATTCCTCCTTCATACTGTCCAGTCAAAGCAGAAAATAGCAGCTGTTCTGTGCCAGCTAGAGTTGCTGGGTTCATGGCGGAGTGGTCCCCAAACCCCAAAGGGATAAGAAAGTGGCAGGAAGCCTGGACAGTCATGAAAATGGCTCTCATTACGTAGCAGACTCGAAAACGAAAGCAGTGTCAGCCAGTGCAGCCATAGACGGAAGTTGCAATGCAGACAAAGGAGAGTGACTGAGCTGGGGACAGGCACACTGAGTGATTTCCTCAGAAGGTGTCCATAGCTCATAAGCAGAAATTTTAATAAGAAGTATGGATAGCAGATTTGTAAATCTTATCCTTTATAAAATGAGCCTCAGTGGAGAGAAGAAAATCCACAGGGGTGTGGAAACAGCTGACTTTGTAACATCTAAGAATCTCTGCAGTGAGAGCCACTCAAAGTCCTAAGATAAAAATATCCAAAAGGATGTACCCATTACAATGAAATTTAGGGATACTGAGGACAAAGTGGGGAGAGCTGAAAGAAAAACAAAGTACACTCCCCATGAAAGAATGTGGCTCAGTTAACGTTGAACTTCTTATTAGAGAAACCGGACATTGGCGGCCAGAACAAATCAGTGAAATTGTATCAGAAGCAATCCAGCATTACAATTCTAGACCCTAGTGTGTCTTTTCCGAATGGAGTGGAGGAGGGCATCAAAGGCAAGTTTCACTAACAAACATTTCAGGAAAACAGGGCAGCGACAAGAAAACTGAGCTAAGTACTCGATTCTCTAACATGGAAGAGGGAATCAGAATAAACTGATCCCCTCAGGAGAGGGCTCAAAGGCCAGGCATCACGACGCAAGTCATGTACCAACCCTAATAGCAGGTGGTTCAAAAGCAGCAACAAGAAGACAAAAGATGAAGGAAATTGTAGGCTCGTTCTATATTTGAACATAAAACCAAGAAGAATTGCTTTAAAAATTTTCATTGAGGGGGCTGGAGAGATGGCAGGCCATCTAACACAATTACTAACTGGGTATTTGTGCATACTGATCACCCAGCATCTAACCAACCAAGTAAACAAGCCTGGTGTTACCTCTCTTAGAGACTGGACAGAAACCAGTGCTTTTATTTGTTCATTTCTTCAGCATACTTTACCTTCCAGACTGACTAGCCTCCCCTCTTTCCCTCCATCGGAGCCTCCTTCTTCCCTTCTTCCTTCACTCCCTTCCTTCACTCCTTCCTTGCTTCTTCTCTTCTCTCCTTCTTTCTTCCTTCCCATCAACTACTTTGCAAGTACTTTGCAGCCTTTGGAGACTACCTTCCTGTTTTCTTACAGTAAACAATTCTCTGCCCAAGGCTCAAAATGCATAAAGGAAGCTTGCTATAGCAGGACTTAGCCATCTAGGTGCCATTAGTACCGTGAGCAGTCACCACAGGAACTGGCATAGCTCCATCCTCTTCTGAAAATCTCATTTTAAAATGAGAGTGCATTCGGTATACTTGAATAAACGTAGTTTGCATCTTGTCCCTCTCCTGGAACTCATGTTCCATACATGCCGATGCTAATCTGAAGAGCATTCGGGACCACACTCCTCTATGCTAAATGACAGGTTATAGCTTTCTGTGACTGAATGCTCCTAAAAGCTATTCACAGCAGCTACTGCTTCCAAGCGTTTGACCAAAAATTGCCTTTCTTCCTCTTGAGTCTTTGAGTCTGAGGAGAAGCCCAGCTGGCCACACACATGCTAGGCATCCTCGCCCTTTTGGTTCTTCCCCCTAGGCGGTTCTTCTGTGCCTTTCATATTGACTTCCTCTCTTTAAATGACCAGCATCAGCCCTGGAGCCTGGAAAACAGAAACCCAGGCTCTCATCCATCTCTTTGCACCAAAATTTGTTTCAAAGGAAAGGATGCTGTTCTTTGTGGCTCCCGTGATAAATGGGCTATGGGTCTCAACAGCAAAAGGCCTCCACAGGGGGGAGCAGAATACGATGAAACTTACACGAAGTTGTGCGATTCTTTGGCTGTTTGTTAACTGAAAGGAAAGGGATGAAATTCAGGAAATGAGGAAGTGTCTGCTGCACACAGCAGCGGGTAGTGGTCCGATTCCATCCAAGATGAATACGGTTTTCACAGTGTTGGGCATTCTTCCTTCATCTGTCTTTCTCTCATCATGATCTCATTTTCTCTACATGCGAGATAATGAAAATATTACCTAGCGAGGTGAAATATCAGACACCAACTTGTGAGCTACTGTAAAATAATCCTAACAGGACACATAAATTTTGCTCTTTCTTTTAAAATTCAAAGAAAACCTGGGTGTGGGTGAGGCAAGCCTGGTCTATATAGTACCAGCCCAGCCAGGGATATTTAGAGAGACCTTGTCTCAAAAACAAGCAAGCAAGCAAGCAAACAAACAAAACCCACAGGGGCTCACAGAGAATGAACCACCAACCAAAGAGCATGTGTGGCCTAGACCTGGGTCCCCTACACATATGTAATAGACGTGCAGCTAGTTTCTCACGTGAGCCTCCTGACAACTGGAGCAGGGGCTGTCTCTGACTCTGTTTCCTGCCTTTGGATTCCTTTCCCCTAGCTGGGCTGCCTTGTCTATCCAAGTTCTACCTCAACTTGATATGTTGAGGCAGGCTGATGTCTATAGGAGGCCTTCCCTTCTCTGAGGGAAAAAGGAGGGGGAAATGAGAGGAAGGGAGAAGAGGTGAAAAGGAGGGAATGGGAGGAGAGGAGAGAAGGGAAGCTGAGATCGAGCTGTAAATTAATTCATTAATTAGTTAATTAAAATTTAAGAATAGCAAAAAAACAATAATAACAAAAACAAAAAGAGGCATTTGTGTTTGGGAGCATGAGTCCTTTCTTTGAAGGGCTGGGGGTATGTTGGATTAGCTCTATGGCCAAATGTACTCAAAATAAATATTCTAAACCAAACATGAGTTTCATAATTGAATTAGGTATGTTAATGTTACCCTTCAGATTGCTATGTATGAAGGAACATGGCTTCAAACACACATTCAAGGGCCTGGAGAGGTGGCACAGTGGTTACGAGTGTGTAGTGATCTTCCAGAGGGCGGCAGTTTGGTACTGAACCCTGACTTCGGGCAGCTGACAACCTCCTCTCCCGGTCAAGGAGGTGCCTCTAGCCTCAAGGGACACCTGCGCCCATGAGCACATTCCACCCTCCCCAACG